TTATATCTAGATTTGATCTTATTCATAGATTAGATTACTTAGATTTGAGTCGGTCGAGTCTGTTTTGTATGGCCTATGTATAGGCTCCTTATTTTGATGATAAAAAGACAATCTCATTATTTTCCCCCAAAATTTCTAACAGGATCAATATGAAATTATAGTATCTATGTTAATATTGGATGAATTTAAGAGAGAACATTTTAAATGCAAAAAGTCCGCATCGTTGATAGGAAGAATCTCGATTACATTTTAATCTTTTTGTCCAATCGAACTACATTATATTTTTATTTATTTTTTTTTTTTTGCCTCGTCCCTTCGAAAAAATTTACAGAACCTAATCAATGGTGGTGTGGACACAACCCGAACTATGATGGAATGGATTGTTCAAGAACTCATGAGACATCCCCAAGTATACGAGAAGGCTAAAGATGAGCTCAACAGGGTAGTAGGGAAAAACCGATGGGTAGAGGAAACCGACTATGCAAAGTTGCCCTACATAGAAGCCATTATCATAGAGACCATGAGATTGCACCCTCTTGCGACATTTTTAGCCCCTCATTACGCCATGGATAATTGTCGCATTGCTGGCTACGACATACTCAAGGGGACAACAATCCTAATTAATACATGGAGCATTGGTAGGGAACCCGACTCTTGGAATGCTCCCGAGGAGTTTATACCAGAGAGGTTTGTTGGGAAAAAAATAGATATTCGAGGATCGAACTATGCACTATTGCCATTTGGGTCTGGTCGAAGAAGGTGTCCGGGATATAGTCTCGGGCTAAAGAGCACGTGGGCAATTACGGCGAACCTCCTCCATGGGTTCGACTTGAAGTTGGGAGATGGAATTAGACATGAAGATGTGAGTTTGGAGTAAACATATGGGCTCACTACACATCCTAAACAAGTCCTTCCTATCATGTTGGAACCTACTCTTCCTAAGGAACTTTACTGAAGTGTGTAAAATAAATAAATAAATAATAAAACATTATAGCAGTATGTTTGTATTTGTCGGAGTCCACACCACGCTCCCTCGGGTGGTGGTATGCGAAAATAGGGACGGTGAGACTTGAAGTCGAGACTTAAACTTAGGCTCTAATACTATGTCACATGCAGAATGATTGTCTCACCTAAAAGCTCAAACTAGAAAAATGCGGGCATTAATTATTTATCCGTAAATAAAAATGCCCAACAGTATTGACTTTTATTTAAAAGCAGTTCAAAAGCTTTTCATTGTGTTTAGAATCGTCATGGGTAGCTTCTAAAAATAAAAATAAAAAAACACTTATATAACTTATATAAGCAGTTATTTCAAATGCGGAGATTATGTACTCTTGCAATTTTACATGTCAATTAGGCAGTATGTTGACTTTTGTTGTTCTACGTATCGCTTTTTTTATGAATTATTTGAGAGTTATTAGTATTAATTTGAGTATTGGTATCAAATCAATAACGACTCACACAAGCTAATCTTTCAAAATTATAATTACTATTTTGTTCATAATAATAATAATAATAATAACATAAAAAATGATCAATATATATATATATATATCACTACAAAAAAATAGTATATTTGTAACGGAATTCCGTCGCTAAAGATCACATAGCTAACGTAATTTCATCATTAATTCCGTCTATAATATCATTAGTAACGGAAAAAATAAATTTAGAGACGAAAATATCTCGTTACAAAAATGATATTTTTTTGCAGTATATATATATATATATATATACTATATTACATTAAAAACCCATTGTCATCATGGAGTATCTATTGGATAATTTTGACAATAGCTTGCATCCAAAAATAAAAGCAACTGGTGAAGCTGAATTTTTTTCTTTTTTTTCCAGAAGCATATTGAATAGCTTTTGAAATAAATAGAAAGACTTTTTAGTTACAATTATTATTTTATTCTTAATAATAATAGTATAAAAATAATTAATTTATATATTATATTTTAATTAAAATTATTATTATTATTATTATTATTATTATTATTATTAATTTATATATTATACTTAAATTAAATTTAAAATTGAGATACCAAATTTAAATAAGAGTATATCATTTTTTTAATTATACTAAAATTACTAAATATAGTTTATAAAATTTTAAAATAAATTATAAAATACAAATAAATTAATATTATATTGTAATTTTATTTTTAATTGAGATATTATCCTTGAATTAAAATTTTAAAATATAAATAATCAAAAAAATATACTACCTCCATCCAAGAATAAACTTTCCATTTACATTTGGCGTTATTATTTTTAATTTTAAAAAATATCTTTATATTTGTATAATTTTTTTATATAAATTTTATTATATTAGTATTATAAGACATTAATAAAAATATTTTTGTCATTTTCTCTTAATTTATACTATATTTTTGATATAATAATTAATATTCAAAAGATAAAAATGCAAAAAGTAAATGGAAAATTTTGTCTTGGACTGAGGGAGTATTTTTTATGTCGTTAATTTAAAATTTTTAAATATAGTTAGGGTGTGTTTGTTTGAAGGATTTTGGAGGATTTCCACTGTTCATCCAATTTTTTCCCCCCAAAAACATCAAATCAAACACCTATTTTTCATTTTTTATATTATACTAAAAATCAATTTTACATTCAAAACATCACATCAAACCCTATTTATATCACATCATACAACTATTCAAATTCAAAATTTTTACTATTCAAATCTCAATCCAAAATCCAAACCCCCAAACAAACACACCCTTAGTAAACTTTAAAATAAATTATAAAAATTTTATAGAAAAATACTATTAACATCATGTCTTTTTTTTTTTTAACCGTCACTTTCAATTCTATAACATCCTACCAGTTTTAAAAAAAAAAAAAAAAAAAACTGTTTTTACAATGATTTATCAGACACTAAATTGAATTGATTATATAAAAAGTAAATATAAATGTTAAATAATTTAGAATAATGACAAGGATGCTACTGGCACACTCCCAATCTTGCCACGCTGCGCCTTGGAGCTATGAAAATCATGTTGAAATTTTTAAGAATCGATCGCTAATAGATGTTGAATTCAACATTCTTCAAACTGAAAATAAAATAAAATAGACACAATATACACAATATAAAGCTTCCATCAAATATACTCCCTCCGTCTCATGTATTATGGACCTATTACTGTAGACGGGAATTTAGATAAAGTGTAATTAATAAGTAATTAAGAAGTGTATTAAAACTAATTATTCGTATAATAAAAATAATTGTGGATTAAGATTAAGATAACTAAATAGTTTAATTAAGATTAAAAAAATTATAAAATTTAAAATGAGATTAAATGTATAATTATATTTTCAAAAAAAAGGAATGGACAAATTATGTGGAACGAACGAAAATATAAAATAGGGACAAATTATGTGGGACGGGAGGGAGTAATAAATAGCTATTAATAATGTAAACTATACGGGTTTATATTTGTTTAGTATTCTTATTTGATGTTTTTTCTTTTTGGTTTTTTGTTTTTTATTATTTATTATTTATTTTATTTTGTTTTGTTTTATTTTTTTATATATAAGATATAGAAGTCAAAGTAGACTATGAGTTGAAATTTTTTTATTTTTCCAAAAATTGGCCTCGCCAGCATATATCTATCCCTAAGTCCTATGACATAGTCTCGAATCCCATGTCCTCAACACCGAGCCCGTGCCGTGCTCGTGCTCGTGCTCGTGCAAGTGTCATGTCCGTTTATAGTCTGGTCTAGACAAACAGGTGGCACGAATGCATTTCTACTTAACAAAAAATTGATTTTAAAAAATTCTGAGTTTAATTTTCATTATTTAAACCGATTTAGTCAACAGAATTTTCAAACCGTGTCCACTTTGGCTTAGCCTGCACCAATTTGTTTTTAAATTTTCTTTAAAAATCCTCATACTAGTGAAGTTTATTTTGAGATTTATAAAGTGTCGATTTTTCTTCACAACTTTGAATGTGAGATTTGGATTTGCAGTTCACCGTATAGCACAGCCAAAAAAAAACATTCAAGAATTGTCATACTAATAGTATAGATAAATTATTTTAATCAATTTTGAGGATAAAAGTAATTTGGGCAAAAATTTACGGCACACAACAAATGCATCAAAATTGTGGCAAATTGTGAATTAAAGTTACAAAACAGCAAAAACGTAAAAGTTGTTGTGCTACCTGTGGATTTGAAAGCTTTCTTGTTTTGTTTTTTCTAATTAAGTAAAGCCCAAATTGATATAACTTTTCACTAGATTTCAAAGTCTCTTCAGCCCTTTTAGATCGGTGAGAACAATATTTTATATATGTTTGTGATGAAAATAAAATTTAGAAATCAAAATTCCAAGCAAATAATACTTATTTTATTTGGTAATCTTAGTAGATATAAAGTGATGAGTAACGTCGATCGATCAATATGAAACTTCCAAGTTTAACTACTGCGATGGATGAACTTGTGATTATAAAGTCATAAGCTTAAAACCTATCTAGGCTACTTGATTTTGTCTGTTTCACATAATTACTCTAGTTTCACATGTGTTGCCAACCTAGTTTACAGGCATTTAAATTGAGCCGAGGATTTACCCAGAGATTTAAGTACTCCCGATGTTAGAAATATGGGGAAAATTATTTTATTGATCGTCAAAATAAGGAGCCTATATATAGGCATAATATACAGACTCGATACAGTCAAATCTAAATAAGATAAGACCAAATCTAAATCTAAATTTAAAATATCTAAAATATCTCCAACACTCGAAAAGTAATAGCTACAGGTTCTCATGTTATATAAAAAAAGAAAAAAAAAACACAGCAAGCAAGTTGATCACCAATTTAAAAGAAAATTCATTCAAATGTTTCTCTCTCTATATATATATATATATGGCGACACGGAGAAAGCGTCGGCGTGAAGGTGTGGATCGAAGGCTCGGAGAAAGGTATCAAACTTTCAAAGTCGAAAACTTATTTTTGTGCTTGCTATAGCTACATGAACCTTTTACCTGATTTTGACGGCGGAAACAAGTGTTACTTTCTTGCTCTTCATTTTGGCGCTTTGGTCCGAACCATTGAGGCGAAACATCCTTTGCGCATTCTTTGAAATCATCGAAGATTTTTTCCCAACAATTTTTTGGCTCGTCTTCATTGGCGAAGCATCAAACAAGGGATTTGGAAACAATACCGCCTTCTTAGCCCACGGCCTATTCCTCGGGGACACTTGGTTGGCTTTGTACCTAAAATTTTCTTTGTCAAAATCTGAAAATCGTAATTTTTGCAAAGAAACCGGTTTCTCCGCATATCTTTGTTGATTTTGATTCTCTGTTTGCTTTGCGGATGGGGGAGTTCTTGGGATGCTTTTGGATTTTTTCGCCGAATATAAGGATGTGGATTCTACGAATTTTCTCATTGATCGACTAGCGAGTGTGATTTCTCCCAAGGCTTCTCTCAGTAGCATCGCCGGCTTCGACATTTCAAACCATGGTTCTGTATGAATATCCGAATATCAAAATATCGACACAAGAATATCAATTATAAGTAATAGCAGAATGTTAACAGATTAAAAGAAAGTTTTGTCTAAGAAGGCATAGAAAAGTAATGAAATTAAAACCTGTGATGGTTGGGAGTTCTTGAGAAGATCCTTCATAGTTGGTACTTGTAATCCTTCAAAATTGCAAAGGCACGTTTATAATGAGCAGTGATGATAATATATATATATATATATGTTGAAAATTAGATTAGGAAAAAAAATAAATTTAAATCTGTATTTACATAACTACATTCTGATATTAGTTTTGTCCCATAATTTTTCCTAACTAGTTTTTTGATCTTACAACTCAATAATAATAATAATAATCATCTTATCCTTAGGGTGTGTTTGTTTGGGGGTTTGGATTTTGGATTGAGATTTGAATAGTAAAAATTTTGAATTTGAATAGTTATATGATGTGATATAAATAGGTTTTGATGTAATTTTTTAATATAAAATTGATTTTTAGTATAATATAAAAAATAAAAAATAAGTGTTTGATTTGATGTTTTTTGGAGGGAAAATTTTGGATGAATAGTAGGATTTTGTCAAAATCACACCCTAATATCTTTCTCCTCTATATTTCATCGGTCATAATTTATATTCAATACTTAAAAACAATTATTTTTCTAATTTTTTTGTTTAGTTTAAATTATGTAAAAGTAGTTTGATGTGTTGATTTTATAAGAAGAAACAATTTATATTTATTGAAAATTATATAAAAATAAAATAAAATTATTGAGAATAAATAAGAATTCAAACCAAACACAATAATAGCCGATCATTTTTTATTTTTTTTTTCAAAAAAAAATCTTCCTTGACACTAAACATAAGAATGTAATGATCTGTTACATATATGAAGCTTTAAACCATCAACAGTTATTTTATTTAAAAAATATAACAATAAATATATATTAATTCTCGCAAATTCCCTATTAAATACTCAATATTATGGGTCTGTTTTTGCAATCAAATTTTATTTTTTTCTCTTACATAACATCCTATCAAATATTATTTTAATATCAAATTCAAACTAAATTTTTTCAAATTCAATCAAAAGAATCACAATTATTTTCATAATTTTTTTTTTTTTTTTTTTTTTTTTTTTAAAGTAGCCTAAAGTAAGTAAAAGACGAGCAAAAACACGATAATAGTACCTAACACTACTTGCTGCAAGGTGGAGCTCTTGCAGTCGCCTTACACATTTGTCCACCTTCAGACAACAACAAACACAAGTATATTAATAATTAGTACCCTTAAAAATATTAAGAAATTAATCATATAATATAATATATATATATATATATCTACAATAACCATACCTTCAAAAAAAAAAAAAATTAAAAAAATGAAGAAGATGAAGATGAAGACGAAGAACACAAAGTTAACATTGTCGCAACTACAAACAAATCAGGCATGGATTCATATGACCTTATCAAGGGTCTGTCTCAGACAGTCGGGATCGAGGGCAGCCAACGCCGGCTTCGGCGAAATTCTTCCGGACATTATTTATTTATTTATTTGAAAATTCTAAATAAAAAAGAAATATTTGTTGGTGTTATATATAAAGGCTTGGAAACAATACCAGTATCTGTATGAATATGGAAATTGAAGTGATCCCGTTTTGGTTTGGATAAATCATTATTGCATTACTATTGATTGGTCAACAAAATGTCAAAAAAAAAATTTGTGATGTATAAATAAATTTGTTTAATTAGAACAATACACCTTTGACTTATTAACTTTGAATTTGAATATGATTAATTACAACACTTATTTGAGATATATTGATGTTGAAATTAATTTTAATATTTTTTAAGAAAGTTTGCATATGAAAAATAATCACAAAAATAAAATTATATATATAATAATAATAATTATGTATATATGCCCTTCCCTGATTAGGACAAAAAATAGGTAGTCTGAAAAAATCATCCGAATCTGATATAAAAAAAATTGTGTTTAAACCTTTAAAAATAAGTTTGAAATTTTTTGAACCGTGTCTGACCTGGCACGCAAATTAATCGGTTTGTGCCCGGGACCATGAAAGTCGGATTATTCTTAACCCGGCCTATTTTATTAAAATTAATATTTAGATTTTATAGCTAGGCCGAGTATTTTTTAAGTTTTGAGTGTTTGATGTCCTTCTAAAAAGAACAAAAATAATTGATGTAATTTTTTTTTTTAAATATTATTGAAAATTATAAAAGTATCTACATAAATAGTTTCAATTATATTTTTTTCTAAATAATATTATATCTATCACAGTTGTATGGTCTCATTTACTATTCAGAAATTCCCTACCTAAATAGCTCATTCCATTTATATTTTATGTGGACTGATGTTACATATTTTACCATTTTTGTTATTTATATAAAATAGAAATAGAAATACTCGGATATTTATATACTGTTGGAGCTGACATTGACTAATGTGTATTTAATTGTTAAATCAATATACAAATATATAAATTTAAATAAATATACAAAATTAAATTACTAAAAATTGGAATGTAGCTAGTTCATGCAATATATACTTATTTGATATTTTGAATTAAGGATTGAATAGAAGATTATTTTTGTACAAGTTTTATATAAAGAATCAAAATAATAAAGAGTGACTACCAGCAACAGAACCAGACCCCCAGCCCCAAAAAATTTACTGTATTTTTTTAGTTTAAAAATACTAAAATGATGTATTTTTAATAATTTGCCTCTGAAATTCTTAATTTTTATTCTCATATAAAAAATCATAAAATTAATATTTATATAGCTTTATTGATTTGTCTTTTTACTATTCAATACTCCCTCCATCCGCAAAAATTAAAACATTTGAGTCCGACACGGAGATTAAGAAAAATGAATATTTTATTACAAAGTGATAAAAGTTAAAAGATAGTTGGATGTATTTTCGGAACATAAGTTAAAAATTAAAAAAAAAACAATAAGGAAAGAGAATGTAATAAAAGTAGTGACATTTGTTATAAATAAGTGTTAAGTAAAAGATAATAATAGTTAAATATTAATTTGTTGACTTTCTTAAAAGTAATTGAGTAAATTTAGCAAACAAAGTGAAAGTAAATTTAGCACTGAGAAAATACATTATAACTATTTGTCTTGTAATAAAATATTAATTAATTCAAATTAATGTACTAACTTGATCAAATCAGTAAGATGGTGATGACCCTAATTGTCGCCATATATTTCACATTAACCTAAAAATTTCTCTATACACCAACAATAAAAAAAACGGAAACATATGGAGTGTACTTGGAATTCGATATTATTTTTTAAAAATATATAATAATTGTTATTTTCGATACAAATATATATATATATAGTAGAGGTTGACCAATGTATATATATACATTGGTCAACCTCTACTATTTCTTTGCCCTTTTGCTAGGCATGGTGAATTAACAATGGATTTCGATTGCCCTTAATCAGGGATTGATTGAGGCATGATAAATACTTTGAATCCACAATTTTGCAATATATATATATATATATATATATGTATATGTCAACACCAAGACCATGGCCACTTGATATCTTTCCAAATGAAGCAACGATCGATCTTCTGATCTTCTTGATTGTTGTTTGCTCCACAAATGTTAGTTTGAAATGCCCCACAGCTCTGCATCATCGTCTTCCCAAAAACCCTAGAAACAGCTTCTTCTCTGTAGAAAGGGTTTTCTTTTATTGGATGATCATAGAAAGGGACATTCTTCCACCATAGCTTCAGAGCCTGCAGCATTCAATTCATTCGATTAATGTTTTAGTGAAGTCGATTGCATCGTCTCATTATCCTCGATGCCACGTCGAGCATTCGTGATTATTCAATACTTCCCAAAGAAGACAAATACACAAACACAAATAATGTACTTTCTCCGTCGAGCATTCGAGATTATTCAATACTTCTCAAAGTTTTTAGCACATAATTTAATATGAGTGTCTACTTTTGTTATTGTTTATTTTTTATAGTAAAAATAAACAAAAAAATATATATATGTTCCATTTGTCTTGTGTTCACTTTACCCTAATATGTTAAGTAAAAGTATGCTCATATTATATTTATTAAAAATATATCCTCTCTCCGTTGACCATATATTACAAAGAAAGTGTAACTAAATATTACGACGGATGAAGGGAGTATACATATATATTATAAAAAATTTAAGTCATTATTTTCTCGTAAGTTAACACAAATGCTATTGATGGGACCAAACACCTTTTCTTTTGTATATATTTTCTATTTTTAATCAAAAATTACATTAGTAATCCCATAAATTTTCAATTTTATCTTTACAAAAAGTACACAGGTAATATTAAAATACTATTTATCTTATTCTTGGTATCCAAAAACTGAGTATTATATTAGGAAACAAGAGTAAGCATATTTTTTTCATGATGATATTGATTCAAACTATAGATTTTACTCGCAATCAAAATTGTTAATACAAGATAAATGATTAAGATATAATTCAGCAAATACTAAATTTAATTATGAGTCAGCACATGATCTGTAAGATATTCTCTTTTTTTAATAAAAAGATAAATAAAAATACTTTTAGATGACAGTGAGCGAGCGAGCAAATTTTTCGATGACGTATTAATTTGATCGGAAAGAGTTCTTACATTCCAATAGGCCATCAGCGAAACTTTATGAGGCATCAACCAAAAGAATGATTCATGGTCTAACTTGGTTGCGATTCTTTTCGCCGTAAATGAAGCCGTAAAATAGTTTCCGAATTCGGGATGTTGCACCGATATTATTGCATACAAAGTTTCACCAGGATCATTCACTTTAAGCCTCCAGTTCCCAAGCATATCCTTGATTCATAAATATACTCTAAGTATTCAGTAATGTTACCCTAAACCCTAAATAAATAAATAAGAAGAACTTGCTAAAGATAAATATAAGAAAACCCTAACCATGAATGGACTTATGTATTCAGATTTGGGAACTGAATCGAAGCTTGGATTGAACACAAATGTCACACTTTGACCCCATGGTGTATTACTTGCCTGAAAATTCAAATAAAACCTTTATTTTGTTAGAATGCAATAATATAAATAATTAAATATATATATATTTTTTATTTTATATATCTGTCTGTATGTAATAGTAACATTATATTTATCATCAACACACCTCAACCATACATTTCTTCAGAATTCTCGAAGATCCTTCAATGTCATAGCAGTAGTAAATATTCACAGGGCTTCTTTCGTATCCAACACTTGGTGGAATTCTCAATAGTAATCTGTATATAGAATTGACAGTGTTCAGATATATTTTGAAGTGTTGTGTTGTTATGTGGTTTTACCATAGGTTTTTACTATTCAGATTTTTTTTTCTCCAAAAATATCACATCAAACAATTAATTTTTTTTATATTATATTATAAATTTATTTTACATTCAAAACATTACATCAACATCTATTTATATTACATCAAGAAATTATTCAAATTCAACTTTTTTTACTATTTCAAAATTCAAACCCAAAAACTAAAACACACAAACAAACAAACACACGGTGTGTTTGTTTGGGGGTTTGGATTTTGAATTGGGATTTGAATAGTAAAAAATTTGAATATGAATAGTTGTATGATGTGATATAAATAGGCGTTGATGTGATGTTTTGATTGTAAAATTAATTTTTAGTATAATATAAAAAATAAAAAATAGTTGTTTGATTTGATGTTTTTTAAGGGAAAAATGGAATGAATAGGAGAAATTAAATCCAATCCCCCAAACAAAGATTAAATAAACAATAGGCAGTCTAATGCAAATGTAGATACATATAAAGACCTAATATTTTGAATAAAGATTAGTAGACTTTTTATTTCATATTTTAAATGAAAAATAGATTGTGGATCTGGTGCTGAACTGATTTGATCGGATCAGCATATCACATAAAGAAATTCAATATATATTATATACTATCATAGTATATATATATAATACAATATAATTCAGCATGTGATATTTTATAACACAACATATATTGTGTTATGCAAAAATATGCTTACTACGTTTATATGATATGCTTACCTGATTAAATCGGCATTATACTGATTTAATTGGATCAACACACGATCCGCATCCTGAAAAATAGGTTTTGAAATCACATTTTACTGATCTAATCCTAGATATATAACTTACACTGGTCCTGTTGTGCAGGTCGCCTTTCGAGCATAGTCAGCCGTCAAGAATCCTTGAGGAGAATAAGGTGGACGGTCGAGATCGATAAGCTCATAACGGGCCGGAAACCGGAAGGAGTTGCGCGCAGGGTGGCGGCGCCCGTGGTAGACGGTCCCTTCGTAGAGAGCAACGACATTTCCCATCTCTTTAGAGGGGACGGCGCATCGGCGACGCCGGAGCGCGAGGCGAATAGAGAGTATTATGGAAGTGAAAATGGTGTAGATAAGGTAGCAAAGAACCAATAATGGAGTCATGATATTTTCCTCTTCTTCGATCAAGTCGACAATTTAATTGAGGTTGTAGGATCAATACAAGTTATATATATATATAAAAAAGATATGTATGTAACGGATGTCATTTGTTCCCCAAGAACTTTCCTATTTGGTCCTTCAATAATATATTTGTTAGCTAGGTGTGTATCGGTGTGTACACGCGAATAGATCGTATTGATTAATCTTAATCAGTATATGAGGTAGAAATTCACAATAAAATATTCATGTCAACATAATGCATAAGCAATATATAAAAAAAAAAAAAAATTGTTAAGTTTATGAATAATCTATTTATAAAATTATTTTTTTTTAATAAATAATAATCAATTTGTCACTTCTTTTTATTAATTATTTAATAAATTTCCTATAATTATCCTACTTTTATCTTTTACTTGATAATAAGGTAATTTATATTATTAAATTATATAATTAATATAATTAAAAATAATTAAATTTTAGTTGTCAGCACGTGTTATTATTTCAGCACTGGATCCATGCTGTACATAATAATAGTCGTACAATATGTATCACAATTAATTTAAGTAGAAAATGTATGTGTAGTGGAGACCATGGTATAGTTAATTATATAGTTGTGTAGTGGACCTCATATTCTATTCGACTCCAACAACTAATAAACGAGTTAATTAGACAGTGTAGAGCTAATTAATTAATTTATTTATTTATTTATTTCAACATAATTTGTATTGTTTTAAATACTGACAATAGTGCAAATGAATTGTTAGGTATTATTACTTCAACTTGCACATCAAAATAATGTTTGTTTACTTTAGATTCATTTTTGTTTGTTCTGATATTTTTGTAAACAGAATATAGTGGTTAGATATCATATAATATATATGTATACATATAAATAATGTTTGAATAAAAAAAAAAAAAAAAAAAAATTGAAGATAAAAATAGTGAATTGAATATGATATTGCCTCTCCGTCTCACTTACTTTTTGCGTATTGATTTTTTAATATTAATTATTATATCAAAGCCTAGTATAAATTAAGAAAAAAATGTAAAAATAATTTCATTAGTGTCTTGTAATACTAATAGAAGGATATTTGTATATAAAAAAAATATATATATTATACAAATATAAGAATATTTTTAATATTAAGTACAATGATATAAAAGATAAATGTGATCGGCGGACTGAGAGAATATTTTATATAAAGAAAATATTAAATTAAATATTTTGAAAATGAAGTTAAAAGATTGAAAATTAAATGAATCTATATATATTTATATAGAAAGAACACAATGTTAGAGTATTTGTTATAATGGTTACTTTAATTTCATTATTTCATTTATTTCTCTTATTCAAAATTTTAATTATTTTTTTTTTTACAGTGATTATAATAATTACTTTCAACTTATTATTTTTATTATTTTATAAATTTTTTTATAATTTATTTAGTTTTAATTTTTTTTATTACCTAATAATATATAAATATTTTTTTACTATTAATAGTATATTTAAATATCAAGATACTAATTATATAAAATATGATAATGTTATCATTTTTATAATAAATTTGAAATATTAAAATTTATTGAATTTGTGGTATTAGTTATATTTTAAATTTTGAATATAAAATTTAGAGAAATATAAATATTAAAATTTGGTATAAAAATAAAAAAGCTAAATAATTTAAAAAATTATATAGATTAACATGATATTTTAAAATAAATTTGAATTATATTTATATAAATAAATTAGACATGATAACTGTATTCCCTAATAAAAGTAATAAATCTTGTTACGTTAAAAACTAATTAGGTGATCTTAAAGTAACGAGAAAGCAAGTGAATGTAACATATGCCCTTATAGATTGATAGCGTGTGAGAAATACGAAATAGATAAAAATAAATTAAAATAAAATAAATCCAATTTATTTCATGTTAGTTTGGTTATAATTATGTTATATAATTGCCTCTTTTTGTTTGGTTAAAAATTAAATCAAACTGAGTCCTATATTTCCAAATTTTAATCGTAATGAATTTTCCAATATTTTTAGGGAATGTTGCAAAAAATATCCCACGCGTATACCCCATTATCACTTTTGTCCTGTATTTATCTTGCTGGCAAAATATATCCCACATGTTTGCAAAACTCGCTATTTCTATCATTTGGCCGTGCGTAAGGGCGTGTGGTGTGAATTTCATGCGCGGGCAAAGGACATAAATAGCGACTTTTGTAAACACGTGGGATATATTTTGCTATGGAAATAAATACAGGACAAAAATGATAATAGGATATAAGTGTGGGATATTTTTTGCAATATTCTCAATATTTTTAGGACGAGGATCACTTATAATCTCGTATTAATCTTTCTCTACTAAATTATAATTTTCTATCATTTACAAACTAATTTATATATTCACAATTAGAATTTTTGTTATAAAATGATAAATTTGCCCTTAATCTTGTGTATAGAAAATAAAAGAGTAAATAAAGTAAGGGTAAAAGAGTAAATTTTGTGTATAAAAATAAAAAGAGAACAATAATTGTTGGACATTCCAAATAGGAAAGTAGGATGTTAGTTTGTGGACGGATGGAGTATTAAATATGTGTATATACATATACTAGTGGGGAGCCCGTACTATGCACGGGATAATTATAAATTTTAAAAATTGTTAAAATTAATTGTTGTTATACAATAATTAAATTATTTTTAATATGAATTTTTAATATGAAAATTATGTGAATAAATTAAATTATTTTACACGATCAATTTTTAGTATTATTTATTTATTTATTATGTAAAAATTATATAAATAATACTCTTTTCATTCCACAACTATTTTCATAATTTATAACTTTTTAATCTTAATTATTCTATTTAATTATTTTAATTTATAATTATTTTTTTTAATATATTTTTTATTACTTACTAATAGTGTATATTATAAGTATTATTTTTTAACAGCCACACCCGGCCATCCTTATTTTATTCTATTATTATTAATTTTTAAGTGGACTCCACAATAAAAATTTTAAAAAATAAATAAAAAATTCTTGCCACAACACGTGGCAACACAAAATCAAGCTGCTTAAATATATATATATATATAAATTAGATTATATATATTATATAAAATTCTTTTTTTACATAATAATATCCATATAAAAATACAGTATAGCTTTTAATTATATTTTTAATCAAATAGATTATATATTCTCAATAATGTGTATATATATATATATATATATATTTATTGATATATCCAATACTAAATATAAAATTGAAGTTTCAATTGCACCTTCTAACGTATAACAAGCGCTATTATAAATAGTATTGGTCCGATTAGTTTGAGTTTGTCGTATGTAGTACTATAATTTAGTATGAACATGGTTCATGCAAAAGATAAAAAGAAATTTTATTTTTTTTAAGCACTGTTGGAATATTTATTATTATTATTATTATTATTATTATTATTGTTTATTTTTTTTATTTGCTATTATTCGATTTGGATTTATGCAGCCTTCACTCTATAATTAATGTAATTAATATTTTTTCTCCAAAAAATTATTGTAACGTGGTATCATAGTCAAATTCCTTCTGATAAACCCTATAATTCGAAAACAAGAGCCATCGCCGTTTTTCCCACATCCGAACATCTCCGATTGACACCTCCGGCACTATCAAAACTGTTGTCCAAAAACCGGAGAACCACCAATATTTGGCGGCGAATGGCAGCGCGTGTGGGGCCCCTGCACGGATCAAAGTTCACGCAGCTGGAACTTTGACCAGCGGGTAGTGGCGCATTTCACCTCCGATTGCGGTGATTTTTCGGTGTTAGTAACGAAAAATTATTCTCTATATGATAATGTAATTTATTTTTCCGTGTAAAGAAATTTTTTTCGGATTTCTTTATCTGATTTATGTAATTTGTCTGTAGTCATATTATGGTGATGGAGTTTCGTTATTGTCATCTTCAAAGTCATGTCATTCAAAATTTTCGTGTTCAACCACATCGGAATGTGCAAACTAGTCGATCATCTTATCATTTTGCATCTGCAATCCTCCAGAATATTGTGACTCTCTTGCGTAAGTTCTTGCTTCCAGTTCCTCTCCTGTCATAAACAATTCAGGTAGTCCAGGTGGTATTTTGATTCCGATTGTTGCAATCATATGACACCTACACTCGATCTCTTGACTATTACGTATTATGTGTCCTCTTCACTGCCTATACAGACTGCTAATGGGAGTCGCATGGATATTATTTACTCAAGATCTGTATATCCACCATTTGTATACCTTCCTGATACTTAGTGCATTTCTCAGTTGACTTTAAACCTTGTATCAATTGACCAATTAGTTGACTAGGGACTTACTGTTACTTTCTCCTCTTCTGGAGTACAGATTCAAGATCCACGTACGAGTCAAATTCTTGGGACAGATCGAAAGGTGGGTCGACTATTTGAGGTACATTCTTTGAAAATCCCTCCCCGTAAATTTTCATTTGCTGCTACTCATACCCCTCTTACTACTCTTTTTTCCTCTAGTCTCCAGTGGTACATTCGTCTTGGTCATGCATCTTTCTCTAAAATTCAATCCTTCGTTAGTAAGAGTCATTTGGGTTCTACTCGTTTTGAGTCATTTGATTATTTAAACTGTCATTTGGAAAAATAACCAATCTTATCATTTTCAGAAAATATTTTCTCTTGTCCATTCTAATATTTCGGGTCATTCTCATGTTCCCTCTATGAGTGGGTGCTGTTATTATGTCATATTCATAGATGAATACTCCCATTTTACATGGGTATATCTTTTGAAACACCGCTCAGAATTACTTCAAATATACACTCAACTTGTTTAAATGATTAGAACTCAATTTTTCGGTTCTATACAGATCCTTCGCACTGATAATGGCCTTGAGTATAGAGATTCTACCGTGTTAAACTTTCTCTCTACTCAGGGTATATTGATTCAATGTTCATGTCCTTACACCTCTCAACATAATGGTCAAGCTGAGCACAAACATCGT